TTCCCCAATCCATTTACTCCCACCCTCCACCCCTCATCCCCATTTACCCCTACCCCTACTCCCTCCCCCTCCCCCTTCCCTTCCCCTTCCCCCTTCCCTTCCCCCTTCCCCTTCCCATCCCATCCCATCCTCTTTCCCACCCGCTCTTTCCATCCTATCCCATGCCTTGTCCTCCTCCGTGTCATCCTCCAAACCCCTTCCTTCTCTCTTCATCCTAACTCCTATGTCCCACCTCCGTCCTGTTCCACACCGACCACCCCACTCAGGATCCCACTCAGTCGGAGCTCCGTCTGCGTCCCATGACGGACAAGGACCGCGACCAGCTTAATCATCTGGCTGACCTCTACTCTCTGACGGTGCGGGGCGGAGACAACCACTCGGCTCCCATACTCACCAAGACAAGGTGTGTGGTCCAGCATAGGAATAGGCCGGGGTAAATATTTTGCTTTTTCCACACCTGTTTTTTTTTTTTTTTCTTCTTTTTTTTATGATTCTTTTTATCTCCCATTAAACATTGTTTGTAGCCTTAAGGGTTTGGAAACAGTTACATCCTCTCTCTCTCTGGTTGTTTCTGGTTTTGTATTATATTCATTATTATTAATAATAATAATAATAATAATAATAATAATAATAATTATTATTATTATTATTATTATTATTATTATTATTATTATTATTATTATTATTATTATTATTATTATTATTATTATTATTATTATTATATTAGTATTAGTTATTATTATTGTTATTATTATTATTATTATTGTTTATTATTATTATTATATTATTATTATTATTATTATTATTGTTATTATATTATTATTATTATTATTGTTATTTTTATTATTATTATTGTTATGATTATTATTGTTATTATCATTATTATTGTTGTTGTTGTTTTGTTGTTGTTGTTGTTATTATTATTATTATTATTATTTATATTATTATTATTATTTATTATTATTATTATTATTATTATTATTATTATTATTAATATTATTATTATTATTATTATTATTATTATTATTATTATTATTATTATATTATTATTATTATTATTATTATTATTATTATTATTATTATTATTACTATTATTACTATTATTACTATTATTACTACTATTACTATTATATTACTATTATTATTATTATTATTATTATTATTATTATTATTATTTTATTGTTATTGTTATTGTTATTGTTATTGTTATTGTTATTGTTTGTTGTTGTTATGTTGTTATTGTTATTATTATTATTATTATATTATTATTATTATTTTGTTGTGTTGTTGTTGTTGTTGTTGTTGTTTGTTATATAATGTTATTATTAATAATTGTATATAATAATTGTATAATTGTATTATTATTATAATAATTGTTATTATTATTATTATTATTATTTTATTATATTATTATTATTATTATTATTATTATTATTATTATTATTATTATTATTATTATTATTATATATAATTAATATAATAATAATAATAAATAATAATAATATATATTATTATTATATTATTATTATTATTATTATTATTATTATTATTATTATTATTATTATTATTATTATTATATTATTATTATTATATTATTATTATTATTATTATTATTATTATTATTATTTATTATTATTATTATTATTAATTATTATTATTATATTATTATTATTATTATTATTATTATTATTATTATATTATTATTATTATTATTATATTATTATATATATTATTATATTATTTATTATTATTATTATTATTATTATTATTATTATTATTATTATTATTATTATTATTATTATTATTATATTATTATTATTATTATTATTATTATTATTATATTATTATTGTTATTATTATTATTATTGTATTATTATTATATTATTATATTATTATTATTATTATTATTATTATTATTATTATTATTATTATTATTATTATTGATTATTATTATTATTATTATTATTATTATTATTATTATTATTATTATTATTATTATTATTATTATTATTATTATTATTATTATTATTATTATTATTATTATTATTATTATTATTATTATTATTATTATTATTTATTATTTTATTATTTTTTTTTTAATTATTATTTTTCTTCTTATTGTTATTATTACTATTATCATTATAGGCATTATTGCTATTATTATTATTGTTTTTTTTCATTATTATTACTATTATTATTATTACTTTTATTATTATTATTTTTATTATTTTTATTATTATTGTTATTTTTATTGCTACTGCTATCATTGTCATCATTATCATGATTAGGATTATTATTATAACTGATATTGATATAGGTGTTTTTAGTATAATCCTCAAATGTTGTATGATTATGATTTAGTGTTGAGCTTTTATGTTTTCTTGCTACCAGGTCTTTCTTTGACATTTATTTGTTTCTTCATAGATGATGATGATGATGATGATGATGCGTCCACACATACACACACGCACACTCACTCAAACATGCAGGCAGACATGCATACAGATATACACACATACCAAAAAAAAAAAAGGATAGATATAATATTGATATTTTTGTCATAGATGCCTTTTTTGTAATGTTCCCGAAGTGTTCAACGGAATTATTTTGCAGGAATAAGATGTGAGGGTATGACCATATTTGTTTGTTGCCTTATTACCTGTAATTTATTATATGCTCTTTGTTGATACTTGTTATTTATCATTCATTATCCATTATATCTGCCATCTGTGAGACTTGTGCGGGGGTGATGTACCTGTAGATAAGGTAATCAGGTAGGGTGATGTATTTTAGCAACTTTCCACAATCCTTACGAGCTTGAAAGTAGGGGGAATGACCGTAAGAATTAATGTCATTTCTGTGAACGGCCATGGAGAAGGATGCTTGTGTTACGTTAACAGCCTGTAATGCTGCTCTCTCTCTCTCTCGTAACATTGCTGCTTCTCGACTGCTGACCATTTCCTCCCCCTGTTAGCCAAATTTGTTGTGCGGAAGTGTCTTCCTTTCCCCACGTTTAAGAATTTGTATGTGTAGGCTAGAGTCTACCACTATGTATCTATGGTATTCCTTTGGTCTGATGTTAATAATTATAGTATCTTGCATTTATGTGAGAGTCAGAGCTGTATGATGGATTTTCTGTTAATATCAGGTCAGCCTACTGTGTTCTTTTAATTTCAGACAAGCTTTTTTTTCTATTAATTTCATATCATGGTCTTCTTTATTCAGTAAAGCATTAAATGGGGCTATGGTCAATGAAAAATTGTGCTAAGCCATGCTCTAAGAATTTCATGTAACTTGGATATTTATATCCAGTTATGTCATTAACCTTTGAGTGGAGACATTAAGGCTAAATGTTTGTGACGTAGATGACCAGCGCTTCCCAAGCAATGGAACACCCCTCCCAGGGAAGCAGTATGTGCTCACTGCAGGTGTGCAAGAAAAGATCTTCATTATCTTCTTTATAATGTCAGACTTCATTAACTTACAATATCCTAAGTGTAACCAGTGTTACTACAGTACATCAAGTAGCTTTTGGATTTATGTAAAATGGCAACATGGTTAGCTGATATGTGATTTGCTGTTCCTTGTTTAGTCCTAATTTCAATATCTCTACTATCGATTTGGAGATCTCTTCTATGTGGAAAGATATATCATATTATACATTTTTAACTTGATGTATTGTGGTCCATGAAGAAGGGGTGCAGGAGGGGTGAATCTAGAAGTTTTTTTTTTTTTTCCCCATGGGATGAGGGCAGACAAAGCAAGATTTTACCGCTGAAGGGTCTGGGGATGCTGCATGCCCTTTGGGAAATATGTAGTTTCTGTTCCAGCAGGTTCAGGGGAACCTATGCCATACGAACCAATGTTTTCAGATGTGTAGGCTTACAAAGGCACAGAAGTCATTGCCAAGTGGCCCATCCCTTCTGTATACACTAGTGTGCTCCATGAAGATTTGGATTTTTACAAAGTATTTTTTGTGATCTCTTTCAAGACTCTTTTCAGTGTGTGTGAAGAGTTGACTTAGAATATATAGAGTCACTTATTATTATAATGATGCCCATATTCAATCAAACAGCCAACGTTAAGATTGTACAAAAAATAGAGTATATTTACTAGAAGAGATATTAGAACTATTACTTACAGCAAGGTGTGTATGAATTCACAAAATTAAACACAAACCTGCCTCACCTGATTAGCACCTTCAGCCAAGTTTTTCTCTATCTCTGGCATCTCTGGATATACTTATAGCATGTACTATACATTGCAGCAGACTAGGCAATTCCTTTTCTGTAAACTTTGTCCCAGGACTCAGCATGTTCATGCAATTGGGATTTTTTTATTTTTACTCAGTTTTGCTACTCATTGTTGAGAGCCTCATACTCATCAACATTTCATGACAAAACCAAAATATTAAGATTTCATCTCACTAGCATTTTTCCTTCAATGTTTACACTTCTGCAAGAATTTGAGGCTTTCTGCATGCATGCGTTGTATGTGGAAAGCAGTAAGTTCATTAAGAAATGTAAGAATTGACAGGGAAAATGCTTGTGTGATAGGGCCCTTACCTCATAGCTTACGGATTATGTGGGGTTCACATCATGGCTGACTTGATCGTGGCTCTGAGTAATGTGTTATTCATGTCACGACCGACTTTGACATGGTTCCAGGCAACGGGTGATGCTTGCATTACATTTGGTGTAGTTCTTTATAAGAAACCTCATGCCCACATCAGATGCCTGGGGCATTGCCTGAGGGAGAAAGGGATGTGTAATGCTATGATTGCTTATTTTGTATAAAAGGCGAATTTTTACATATAAATCATCTGCCTGCTACATGTGGATGATGCCATGCACCAAAGCATGATGTGCTCTTGCTACTTATTTATGAGATTTGTCTCCTTGTGTCAGCTATTCTTATTGTCTTTGGTGCTCTGCCTGTATGACTGTCTTCAAGTATGACACAAGGCAAGTACTGAAGTTGTGGGGCAGCCGCCTTATATATCACTGCATACAATCTCATATTTCGTAAGAATTAGATTTGCAACAATGAATTCTCTTTTTTATCCTTCAGTAAAGCCACATTCAATCTTGTACATAGAGTGTAACACACCTTCTCTGTTGAAATAGTCTCTAATATACATAATCAGGCTACTACAGGTGTGCATCTCTAAATGTGCCCCCACACCCCACCCACCAAAAAAAGTTTTGCATAAAAGTAATTTTAAAAAAATCACATCACTTTGTTAGTGTGCCATGACAAGTGCAAAACACCAGCCATGTCTCAAAAAGGCCCCGGAGGCAAGCCCAGTTGGCCGTGCATATTTTCAGGCTAAGTCAACCCCATATTCTCCTGGAGGCAATGGGTTAAAGAATTAATGAAACTGAGTGAGGGGCAAAAGCTGAAAGGTCAGGTTAATATAATGGATGAAATACAACTAACATGCCATTGTACAATTGGGGCTGACGTGGAGAAAATGGTAGTGGCTAGAGGAGGAGGTTGCTTGGTCTGTCATTCCCCGGATGGTTGTAAATGACTGGGAAAGTTTGGGAACCGCTGGTGTAGACTTTTATTATGTACAATTAGTTGCTTTGCTGATTTTGTTTTATTTGTGTTGCACTTCATTCATAGAATTTGTTGGTTTTATAGGACTGTTTATTGATATCTGAAAGGTAGTTATGATTTGTGTATGAGCACTCAGATATGTAATAAATACGTTAATGTATATATCCATTTTTTTTAAAGATTTGTCAGTGTGCAAATGGTAAAGAATATCATGTATGTATATGCATGTGCTGTGTTTAGTTACCAGGCTTAGCTTATCAGATATTTCTCTTTCTTCTTTGTTCATAAGATTCATTATATATTGATGATATGCACAATTTTAAAAAGAATTCCTTTTTGCAGCAAATCAGAGAAACTACATCTGGAGAAAATTACAAGAAATATATTATGAAATGCTCAAAATGTGGTATAAGTTTATTCAATTTCCAGAGGTCCTTTGCATTTCAGTAAGTGATAGTGATGGGAAAAACAAACAAATCAACAAATACGAAATGTGTGAAATATATGTATAAAGATACATGAAAAGTTCCCTTAAAAGTGCGACTTTTCCTATCCTTAAGAATAAGGAACATCAACTTGATTTGTCTCAGAATGATAAGAATTACAGAGCATGCTTTGTTTTTGTTACTACTGGAGCCGTTAGGGGATAGAAGGTAAAGCAAGAGACCCCCCCCCCCCCCTCTGTCCTCACCCAGTCATTAGCAGGTGTTACACAAATGCCTTTGTTCCCAGAAACACAATTACGAAGCAAAGGCTCGAGGTGGATAGTGAGGTAATGGCATGTGAGGGAGCCTTCCCAGGAGGCTTGCCGGTACCGTTGAGTGACATGAAGAGACGCCGCCGCACCCCTCCCCCTCCTCCCAACAACCTGACAGAGGGCAGCAATGATTCCGTTGAGAGTGTCTTCAACAGCGCTGGAATTTCAGGTGAGGAGGGAGTGTTCAATATTTTCTGGCTCTAACACAGCTATTCCTCTCTCTGTCTGATGTCTTTCCTCTTTTTCCTCTTCCAAATTCTTCTATTTTCCATTTCTTGTCGTTCTCTTTCTTTTTCCATTTACTTGTCTTTTATCTCCTGCCACTTCCTATCTATCTGTTTGTTGTCTTTTCTATCTATCCACTGCTATGGATACATATTGCAGTGTATATCTGTGTACTGATACATTTTTTATAAGAAAAAATATCAACCCATTTGTCTTTTCCAGGGACTTCTTTTCGACCTCCGGTGCCCACCGTGAGTTGGGATGATGACCTAGGAGACTGTTGTGCTGATTCCCTTTCAGAGAGATTGGCAGACTCCGAACCCGACCCCCTGCCATCGCCGACGTCTCTGGGCCTCCACGACTGTACTTTATAGTCACATTTGTTTAATGGCAGCTGCTTTTTTATTTTATTTATTTTATTTATTAACTAATTTTGAGGCAGCATCAAACTTCCTTGTGTCATCCCCATGATTACAAGCCAAGCATTTTGATCTCCACTTTTTCTTTTTTAAATATCTTTCTTCTTTCCTTCTTTGTATATTTTTTGGTAATCGGAACATTGTTAAGGATGGGAAAGGAACAGTCACATAAGCCTTATGGCTGAAAGGATATGTCAAACAGGTACCCTCCCTCTCTAAAGAAGTGTATGAGATACACTCCAATTTTATTTAATCCAGTTGCCCCATTCCTCCTTTGTCGAGGTTACCGAGGGGCAGAGGTTTTCCCACAGCCACTCCCTTTTGGTTCTTCCCCTTCACTTCCCTCTTTCCTTTCCCATTGCCATCCCACCTGAAGAAAGAAAGTTGTATATTTTTTAAGAGAATATATGGAAATAATAGAGTATATTGATTAGTTACCAGACTTTTTTCATGATTTATACAAGAGAGAAAAAAGAAGTGAAAAAACGATGAAGTCATGGCTGTACATACATTTTCATACCAAGTTTACTGACGAGG